TATAATCTGTCCTCACACTTACAATCATCACAGCATCCCCACTATCCCATGACCAAATTTGGGCCCTTGGCAACCAGCATGTATTTATGACGGTCGTAAGGTCCTTTGGTCACATGATCACCATTTGCAGCCTTCCCAGCTGGCTTCTGACAAAACAAAGTCAATAGGGTAAAACCAGATTCACTTAATAATGGCATCATTCACCTAATAACTGCAATGAATTTGCTTAACAACCAGGGCAAAAGGTCATATAATTGGGCGCAACTCACTTAACAACTGCTTTGCTTAGCAATGGAAATTCTGGTCCCAACTATCGTCGTAAGTCAAGACCTACCTGGTATTCTTTCTTACAAAATGTACATTCACTGAATGAGGCTTCCTCTGACATAAATTGCACTCAATGCTACCAGCATGATTTTGCCACATTTCCAAATACCTTAGAGTTGCTCTGCTGTTTTGCAAATTGTTCATTTCCTGAGTGATCATTCTTTCCATTACTTTTGCTTTCAGCCAAACCTATTATGTCTGCCTCTTTTTCTAGTTCATGTCTCAGACAGCCTTTTCATTACTCAAGCACACTTTCTTCTGGGGGGATTCAGATGCTTTTTTTTTTTTTTTAATCCCTTGCAATAACATTGTGATTTGGTTTTCTTCTCCAGAAAGCACATCTTTTTTTTGAAATTGGGTGATGTATAGAGGAAAAAATTGTATGCTATCTGTACATGCCATGAATAGAACCCATGACGTCGCAACAAGATAAATCTTTCTGATCCATTTTGGAGACTTTTACTTTTTTTTTTTTAATTTAAGAAAAAGCTTTTAGATCTGCTTCTTTAATTTGGAACCCTCCAAATTGGGAGCACAACTACCAGAAAATAGCATTTTAGAAGCACCAGTAGCCCACAAAGACATATGGCATGGTGGGAAAGTTGGTGGTTGCAATCCGTCTCTTTTGTAATTTATATGTTTTCCCTTTCCCTTTCCTTCCCTCCCAGCAATACACAAATTGTGTGGAGTGCTACTCCCATTGTACAGGATGTTCTTCTCTATTTCCCTCTGCAAACCTGGACTGTGAACTTTTTTTTAAAGTTTTTTTTTATTTTTTAACTTAAACATTCCATCTTCCATTAAACAGTGTGTTGTCTGGGTACAAATATCTCTGTGCAATAACAAAATTTACAACAGTATTCATTACATTGATATTGATTCTCTAATCTTACAATAATAATAATGAGCATAATACATCTATTCATTTCTCCTTAACATATCTTCTAATAAGAATATAATAATAATATTAAATATAATAATCTTAATAGTCATATTAATAAGAATCATATTGTTTACTTCTCTATCTTAACATGTTTTCTATATTTCACTGATCTCCATTTATTTCTAATTTCTATTTTTATTTTCCAACCATTCATAAAATAACTCCCATGTCCTATAATATTCAGTTTGTTCTTTCTCCTTTATAGTAAGTGTTAATCTATTCATTTCTGCACATTATAATATTTCCCTGGACTGTGAACTTTTCAAGAAGGCTGTCACTATGTTTTTTTTTAACCCCTCCTTGGTCTTTTTGTCAAAGTCGGCATTTGACTTGAGTCTTGAATTCATGTGCCAAGAAGGCTGGGCAGGCTCTCGGCAGTCTGGTCACTGCTGTGCTGGATGCCATGTCCTGCTTCTCCTTCACATGCATTACACATAGTATGAGACACAGTAGAGAACTTGTGTGTCTGATGATAGATGGGTTTACTCTGGAAGCGCATTCTATTATTATAAATTCACTTGGTCTTTCTCAGTAGCAACAGCAGAAACTAGAGATCTCGGATAAAATGTTCTTAGCCAGTATTTCCAGTATGCAATGGGCACATTTACTGGTTTTTTTGGTTTTTTTTTTTTACATTTTTATATTTTCTAGTTGTGTTTTTTGTCCTTTTGGCAGTCTGAATGTGAATTGGATATAGTAACTATCCTATGTCATAAGAACAGATCTCTTATTATATAGTCATAATATTAATTTAGAGCTGCTCTGCCAAGAATTGTTCAGAAATGCATTAATTTGTTTATGCAGTGATGGCAATAAATCTAAGCAACATTTTATTTTGAGCCTAACACACTCTCTGACATGACTGGATCCTCTTATTTGACTTCGGTTTGTCAAGTATTGGACTCAGCATACAAATCCCATTAGATCAAATAGATCAAGGCTGTCAAACTCTCAGCCCGCAGGCCGGATGCGTCACGCGCTGACCACTCCCACACCCGGTTTGGTGAAGGGGGGGAAATCCCAATATGTCACATGATGCCGCCATGACAGCGGAGTTTGACATCCCTGAAATAAATAATTTGGAATTCTACAGCTGTATTCCCAATATTGCAGAGACCTCTTTCAAAGGCAAGCTCCCAAAGTTACAATCAGAATAAAAAGATTCTCTACAAATGCATTCCAAGAAGGGAGGTTTGGAAAAAGGAGAATCTAGGATTTCCCGGATCCCATGTAAATATATCACGGTGCTATGCAGATAATGAATATCAATAATTTACATGCAAGGAAAAGATAGCTGATAGGAAAGACTTTCTATCTCTAATTCCAGCAGATGGAAAACTCCTGCTTGTGTTTAGGGACAAAAAGTCCATATTTTTCTTTTAACATCCAATTTAACATTCTCATTTATAGCTGTGCATTATACAGGCTGACATAAACATTTATTGGGGATGTGGAAAGTAAGCTGCAATCTTCTGTTGTGCCTTCGTTTTCTTTGTAATAAAAACTATGTGTTTAATCATCATCACTAAGGTATTCTGTTCTAAGTAGAGTCATAACTAGTTGAAGGACCTCTCTGCTCACCCTTTCTACATGACAAATCACTTCTTTTGGGAAGAGCACAATCTTATCCAAAATAAATATTGGGGCTAACATTGGATCACCCATTGATAATATTTGAGCTGTGCTTGTTGTTCAATATTCCCATCCTCACAGTTTTCAAATGATGGTTCAGGATATTCCTATCTCTGGCTTGAACCAGGGTGACACCGTGTAAGATGTCATCTATGGATGATGGATGTCCTCTTCCAGTGGCCTCATAAACAACATAGGGGAGATGAATGAGCCCCATGGAACCCCCATTTCACATGGGATCAAGCTTCTTCTCCAAATATTGGCTGAAAGTATCTGTTTAGGTAGGAGCGATCCATCATTAAACAGTGCCCCCAACCCTTGTAGATATCCAGAAGTAGTTGAATAGTAGTTATTAAACACCGCTAAGAGGTCAATAGGAACAAGGTAAGCATACTCCCCAATATAGTTCATGATAAAGGTCACCCAAGAGCAACAAATGCTATTTCTGTCTCATGAATGACATTAAATTGCAACTGAAAATGACCTACACAATCAATTTCCTCTAGAATTCTCTGTAGTTGATTTCCCAGTAAGAGAAGGTTGGACTTTCCAACAGAGAAGGTTGAGAACTACACAAAAGTGATCAAACATGGATGGATCCAGAGAGTGCCTTATCTCCTAGCATGGATAAAGCCTACCAAATTCAGTATTTCCATTTCTCATTCTGAAGAACAAGTGTAGGCCTCAACCTTCCAACAACTTATATCCATAGAAAAAAATAAGTAAAAATTGATCTACTAAGCAGACTCTTAAGTCACAGCTATAAATTCTGCTGTTTGGTTAAGGATCATTTATTCTGCCTGAAATAAAAAGCGTTGCCTAGTATATTTTTGTCTTTTTCTTGATAGTTTAAAGGGCAACTTTTCATAAAGAGTTGATGCCATCTACTGGCTAGCTGTGATATTACAATTCGGAGGGAAAGACCAATAGCAGTGGAGAGAGCCTGAAAAATTCACCTTTGGCACACATAATTCACACATCAATTAAACCATGGTTTATGTAAACAGTGTAGTGTAGTCACCCAAATGTAGTTTATTAAACCAAATAGCTGTATTCATACAGCATGCTGATTCCAAACAAAGCACACTCCATATCAGTAATCACATACCTTAAATTAATTTATTTTATTTATTAAATTTACATGCCACCCATCTCGTTGTTCCAGAAAATAATACATTAGCTATAGCATCAAGCCTGCTTGGTTATGAGAGCGGTTGCGAGTTATTACAATGTATTGGAAATCAGTTTGAAATTCATTTATACTAGGGCTGGGATCTGCTTCTAAAACCTAATAAAATTGCAAAAATAATGGCGTGTCTAAGGTCGGGCTCTGACTGAATTGAATTTGATTTTTTTTTTTATTGGGCAAGTGTGATTGGACACACAAGGAATTTGTCTTGGTGCATATGCTCTCAGTGTACATAAAAGAAAAGATACGTTCATCAAGAATTGTAAGATATGAATGATCAGTCTGAAGTTTCCCCATAAAACCAAGAAAACCCCGTTCAAAACTTGACATTTTTTCTAACAGCATCTTCCTGGGACGCCGTAGGAGGGGTAAATTCATATTCTCCAAAAAAGAGCAACTGGAGGGAAAGGACTTGCTCTCCTGAATCTCTATGGGGTTCCTGTAGAGATCCATTTATCTGCTTCTTAAGAGTCGAAAACGACTAAAGGCACATAGTCAACAGAGTCTCGGGAGTCACCGGCTCGGCTTAGCCAGACGACCGAGCGATCAAGATCCTTCCCAGCCTGCCTGGAACCCGAAGCGCCGCCCGGATCCGCGGCCTCCCGTCGGAGCGAACCTTCCACGCCCAACCGCATACAACCCTGCACGGCGTTGTAACCAGCCGGGGCTGAACCGAGCAGCTGCGCCCGCCTCGCCAGCCCAACCTGACACTTGGCCGCCACCGGGCGCCGAGCCAACCTGCCCGGGCGCGGGCAAGCGGAGAGGAAGCCTCTCACGGCTGGGCTGGGCAGGGCGAGCGGGCGAAGGGAGTTCAGCGGCGGCGGCGGTCCAGGAAGCCCTGTCGCCTTCCCCGCCCGGGGCCAGGCGGAGCCAGCCGCGGAGGAGGAAAGGAGGAGGAGCGGGTGAGAGGTCGGCCAGCTCCGGTCGCCCATAGAGACGGAGGAGTCCCGAGTGGCGAGGAGGGCGGAGGCGTGTGGGGGGCGCCGAGGAGGGACCCGCGGACGGTGAGCGGCGAGTGGCGGGGCTGCTTTGGGGGAGAGCGGGAGGGTCTCGGCGAGAGGCAGCGCCTTCTTCCTCCTTCCCTGCCCCGGTTTTTTTTTTTTTTTTTTGTCTCCGCCTCTCGCCATTGCGGCGACGGCTGGCGGGTGAGGACTGTCCCTCGGCTCTGCTCGCCGCTGCCCTTCGTCCCTGGCGGCGTGGTTTCAGGCGGCGGCGCTGGGCACCAACCGGGGGCGCCTGGCTCTTTCCCGCCGCTGCGGGGCGCTGGGCGAGGCGTGGCTGCGGTGCGGGGACGGCGTTTGGGGCCGCCAGGCCACCCGTTCCTGGCGCTGACTCGCCTGGTTGGCCCCGAGTCCCGGCTGCGCTTGCGAGGGCGGGGAAGCCTGTTTGGGGACCCTCTTTTTCCTTCTCCTCCCTCCCCCCGCAAAGCCGTCCGTGGTCAATTAGAGAACACAGGCGCGGTTGTGTGCCCAAGGCGCCTGGGGGATGACCAGACAGACACTGTTGCAAAGCCGAAGACCCGGGCCTGGCCATGGAAGCAGCTCCAGGTTCTGAGGCAATGAGCCCTGCCTGCCCTTAGCCTCCCTAACCGGTTTCACGGAGCCTCAGCCTATCTTTTTTTTTTTAGTTGTCTCGCATTAGAGTCAGTTAAAGGAACTTGGATTAATGTCTGTGTCTTCTTCCCAAGCTCTTTGACTTGACTGGCTGTCCCCACGAAGGAGTGGACTCCCCCCCACCCCTTCCCTGGGCCGCGGGATTGGCCCTTATTTCAGAAACGCAGAAGATTCGTGTAGAGAAACTCGACGTTGCTCTGGCCCAGGAGTTGCGTTGGCCTGTATTCATGTTCGGCAAGTTTGGCTTGCCTGTGAGAATGCATGGCACATTCGGCCCACTTAAAAGTTCTGCTGGCACCCCTCAGTAAAAATAAAAATAAAAAATGAGATGTGCTATGAATACCTTATGCAGATAAGCACAGCCTTTATCTGTTACTAATTACTTCCAAGCAGGTACTATCCAGATTTTGTGGACATTGACTCCCATCATCATAAACGCCAGATTGGGAATGGGGAAATCAGTATATGACAGATTGGTTTTGCCTTGATGAGGGATCACTATTGTTTGACTAGGAGACCCATCTTTGTCCTGTTTGGTACATTGGCTGCAATATTTTATAGATGGAGGTTGCCTACTTTGTAGTGGGTGTCCAGTGGTGCGCGGATGCTATTTTCTCATTGGTAAACTGTTATAATTCATAACCCTAATTCCTGCTAATTCAATTGCTGGATTTCTATAGATCTTTGTAGTTGTAGAAAAAGGCAGTAGTCGGCATGGTAGCTGGAGATGGATCTAACTATTAATGGTATACTTACTTTTTTTCTATTGGTGGTGTTTCAGTAACATAATTGGCTGGGTGTCACAAACATAATTTGTATCCTGCATTTTGGCAAAAATACATAAGTCTTCTATTTCTGCTTTTGGAATCTTTTTCAAAACGGCAGAATTTTAGAAAGAACAAATTATTTTGTACACAACCTAAAGAGAAGAAGCAGGAGAAAATAGTTATCAAGGGCCCTTCCCACTGTCTGCTTTCCCTTAAGTTGTTTTTAAAAAAATCTCTACAATTTGTGAAAGTGAGCGGAATGAGACTCCACCCAGTACTGAGGATGTTGTAAGAGGAGGAAAAAAGGAAGTAATTGTTCCAATCTGAATGTTAGGTGACTCTGGAGCATAAGCTGAGAACAGTAATAAACGTTACACTTTCACCATTGCTAATGAAATGTCTGCTGAATAATAATTGCATTTGCTTCCCAAAGTAACAGTATGATTGGCAGGAATCCACAGTCTTGGCTTTCTAGACTGCCATAAGAGACATTTGCCATTGATCATTCCCATAGTACTCTGCATGACCAGAAACATTGAGAAAGGAAGTGGGCCTCTCATATCTCCCTTAGTGTTCATCTTTCACTGATGGTGAGTTTCTATCTGTTCCAAAGTTCAGCACGATTGAAATTTCAAGTTAACAACATACTTCTCCACCTTTCTGGAGGGGATTTTTATATCCCAAAGTCTACTGCAAATTCAGCACTGTGTGAAGGTCTCCTCCTCACATTTCCAAGTTCAGAATTGAAGAAAGATTTCCCTTTTGTTCCTACACTTTGCAAATACATTTGTGGAGGCCTGATGTTGGGAAGCTAGTCATAAGAAAATGGGACAACAGAACATTAGGGAGTTGTTGAACGTGTTCTGTCATGCTTAAAGTTTATTTTGTTTGTTATGGAAATGAAACACAAGACTGACTGCATAGTGAAATGCAACAGAGTTGGATTAAATAGCTTCTTCTATTTAATAGCTATTTAAGACAAACTCTATTTAAATTTCCTTTAAGTTAGAATCCCTTCCTTACACTTGCTTTATATGATTATAACTGTCAGCACATTATAACTCTTTTAGGTGATACGAAATTATTTGCTCTAAGAAAGATTTAGCTTCAACTTCTTTATTTTTTGTTAACTTTTTTTAGTAGCTATGCAAATAGAAAAAAATAATGTCATGATGACATTATTCATGATGAAGTTAGGGTTGTTTTCTTTTACAGACTGCATTTATTTAGATTTTATGGAACTATTCTTACAGCATGTATACTTAAAGTATTTTACAGTGTAAACTGGTTCCTTAGATATTTAGAGTATGTCATATTTTTAGGGTCTGAGGCTGAGCTACACTTATTTTTTTATTTTCCATTTTAAAGATTATTGTAAATGTTAACAATTGTTTTCAGCATTTGCAGATATCCATCATGCTTTTTAAAAATTGATTTATTGCAGACTTGGTTAATTCTTGGATGGGAGACCTCTAGGCAAGGTCAGCTTTAAACTTGACCTTAATAGACATTGGCCTAGGATACCTTCCAGATCATTCTAAAATTGCAAATATTTGGATCAGTACAGAGTCATATTGTCAGTCAAAGTGGCTGAGGAACTCAGTAGTTTTGGCACTGCCTCCAGGGAATCCCAGAGTTATAGGATAAACTAGAAGTTTAAAAAAATCATCCCATGGTAAATAATTTCCATACTTTTGCAAAGAATACTAAATGGCTGAACCCATGAAATTATCAGGAGTCAAGTTCAACTCCTTTGACACAAACATAGACACACACATGAATAAGATAATATCAATGGCAATTTGAATACCAGAAGTTGTTTTTCTCTTAATTTTAGTCCCTGGTGATGAGTTAAGATTGAAAGAATTGTGAGGGTACTCAATAGTTCAGTTTTATGTCATAATTTGGAAGTTGGTTATGGTTTTGATTCTCCAGTAGACAGATACATCTTATATTACAGCTTTAGGACTTGAAGAATTTGATTATTTTGTATTATTGTGGAGATTGGCTATATTTCACAATTCAGCTTTAGCATCTATAGCAGTAAAGAAATATTGTCTCATTTCATCTGCAGACAAAATTTGTAATACAGTAGTCTGCTGTTGAGCTCCAGCGGCACATGCTAACTGGATTCATGCCTTGCACGTCCCACAGTTTGTTCCATCATGATTTACTGAATTATATTACATTATAAACTAAATTACATAACAAGGTATAACGCAGATTTCTAAACCACAGTGATTGCATTCATATAACATGCTCACTAAAGTCAAACAAACAGTGTATGGCTGTTATATGAACCAGGCCAGTGTCTAAAAGGAACTGAATCAGTTTGCTATATTGTATAAAGATTAATTACCACATGCAAAGAGTGTTTTTCAAGGTTGGAAGGTTCCTACATAGCTGAATAAGAAATGAATGAATTATGCTACGGAACTAAGGCAAAATATAATTCTTCAAATACAAGTTATTGCTAAAGTATTTAGTATTTCCAACCTTCCATATAATTAACAGCCTTTGCACTGTAGAAACTGAACTGCTTTTATCAATAAGTGTCTCAGGCTCAAAGTCTGCAATGGATGGGCCAAGCAAAGGTTTTGTTTTTTTCACTTCAAGTACATGAAATAAATAACTTTAGATTATAAGATCTCACAACAGTCATTTGCAGGAACAGAAAATAGTTGGGATCTGTATTCTGCTTGCTTGCTTTCTCTTTATAAAGAGAGACAAAATTATGCTCAGCTCTTCCTGTTGCTTCCTTCAGAAAAGCCAGTAATAACATCTGCTTTTTCTTTTCTCCAGAGGAGAAAAACTCACATGCACTAGGTGAGTTCCTCAGAAAATGCCCCTAATTCAGATATGGGCATTTTATCATCAATCTATCCATCCATCCATCCATCTGGAAGTAAGCAGGGCTGAATAAGAAAAGAAACCTGATAGACAACAGATAATAGCAAATGAAGTAAAATTCATTTCAACAAAAATTATACACCATCACTGAAATTATATTGAAATGTTAATCCATTGTGCATAAAGCTGTACTGATATGAATGCAGATTAACTTGTTAGACAGTGGTAGAAACATACAATATTCATGTAGCAAAATCACTTGGATGCTTTGTGAACTAAAAACAAAGTTATAGCCACAAGATTGATGTGATAAGCTGCAAAACCAATCACTCCTCATTCAATCAAATAGAAATACAGTATCAGACGTATGTCTTTTTTTTAATCTTGCAAGTCTGGTTTAGCAAGAAAAAAACTAAAGATGGAAAGGTGATTAAGTTTACGTACATGACATGTCTTCCATATAAACAAAAATAACTAAATAGCATTGTATCAGCTATGTCTGTATTTTGTTGACTGCTAGTTGTAGATAAGCAATAAAACCAAAATGCTGGTGATGCTCCTATACTAAATGCAGCATCCTGTTTGCCACTAACATGTCTAGATAACACTGTAGCCTTCTCCAATCTGGTGTCCTCCAGATGGGGTTGAAGTTGCACCTTGTGTTGTAATGGTTAAAGTGTTGGGTTAGAAGCTGGAGATCAAGGTTCTAGTCCATCTCAACCACATACAATCTCCTTCTGCCCAACTTTCCACACAAGGCGATTTTTATGGAAA